ATATATATATATATATATATATATATATATATATATATATTCATACTTCACATATTCGGGGTTGTACTTGCGCTTTGACATGTTTGTTGCAATAATTAAATTAAATTTCACCTGTCAAACTGTAGGGTTGTCGCGCAAGCATTTAAAAAAAGTCACGACCCACCAGTTAAGAAACACTGCTGTAGACTATCAAAAAATATAGCGTAAAGGGGCTAATAATTTTGACCTTAAAATAGTGTTTATAAAATTAAAAGCTCCTTTTATTCTAGCCCAAATAAAACAAATAAGACTTTCTCCAGAAGAAAAAATATTATTAGAAATACTGTGAAAATTTTCTTGCTCTGTTAAACATCATTTGGGAAATATTTAAAAAAGAAAAAATAATTTAAATGGGGGACTAATAATTCTGACTTCAACTGTATGTTTAATGAATAGGAATAAAACAAATACTGGATAAGTTGGCGGTTCATTCCGCTGTGGCAACCCAGGATTAATAAAGGGACTAAGCTGAAAAGAAAATGAATGAAATATTATTTGTATTACCATGTAGTTATTATCATGTATATTATCATGCAGGTTTATTTGAATTATTTTTACAATTGATATTGTCTAACTGCAAATGTATACTGTAAAGGCTTTTTCCCTCTGTTGTAATTTTATTTCAATTTAACTAATGTGTCAACTTATTTTAGTGGCAAGGGTTATTAGGGAAAAATACAACCTTGATTGTACAAAATGTTTTGTTAAAAATTGATGAAAAAAAATCAGGAACAAAAACAATTAAAAAAAGAAGCGCTTGAGTAAATAGTGAGAAATATTTTGGGGCAAACTCATGAATTCCTGTGGAAATTAAGCAAGATCAAAAATCTGCTGACAAATGAACCGCAAGCTGAGCAAGAGCTTCCTGTTTTCAGTCTAGAAGAGATGAAATATTCAGCGGAGAAATGCCAGCACTCGCGACACCAGTGGAAAACCCCTCTGAAAGACGATGACAATCACTGTGATGCGTACACACGCTCTGGGTTTCTGCAATAAAGTTATTAGAAAATTTTGTTTTTTCTCAGATATTTCTGAAGTGATGTTTATCAGAACAAGGACAGTTGTTTTTCAGTATTTGCTGTTATATTTTTGGAGAAAGTCTCTTTCTTTTTAGTTTGGTTTGAAATAAAAAAAAAATGTAATAATATTTAATAAATTGCTGTATAAATGTAGGCTAGGGTGACATGGTGGCGCAGTGGTTAGGACTGTGGCCTCACAGCAAAAAGGTTGCTAGTTTGAATCTCAACTGGGTCAGTTGGGATTTTTCTGTATGGAATTTGCATGTTCTCCTTGTGTTGGCGTGGGCTTCCTCTGGGTGCTCCAGTTTCCCTCACAGTCCAAACACATGTGCTATAGGTGGATTGAATAAAGTATGTGTGAATGAGAGTGTATAGGTGTTTCACAGTACTGGGTTGCAGCTGGAAGGGCATTCACTGCGTAAAACATATGATGGATAAGTTGGCGGTTCATTCCATTGTGGCGACCCCTAATTAATAAAGGGACTAAGCTGAAAAGAAAATGAATGAATGAAATTGGCTGTAGTGTATGTGTGTGTGTGAATGTGTATGGGTGTTTCCCACTACTGGGTTCGAGCTGGCAGGGCATCCACTTTGTAAAACATTTGCTGGACAAGTTGGTGGTTCATTCCGCTGTGGCGACCCCTGGTGAAAAAGGGGACTAAGCCCAAGGAAAATGAATGAATGAATATAGGCCTGCTTTGGTTTGCCCCACAGTCCAAAGACATGCAGGTGAATTGGTTAGGCTAAATTGGCTGTAGTGTATGAGTGTGAATGAGTGTGTATGGATGTTTCCCAGAGATTGGTTGCAGCTGGAAGGGTATCCGCTGCGCAAAACATATGCTGGTAAAGTTGGCGTTTCATTCAGCTGTGGTGACCCCAGATTAATAAAGGGACTTAGCCGAAAAGAAAATGAATGAATGAATGAATTATTATAGGCTGTAACCTAAAAACAGAGCTTTAAATAAAATACTTAAAGGTGTAATTTTGTTCTTTTTTGTGCTTATTTTTGTTTTGTTTACAATATTTTAAAAGCATGAATAAAAATGTTTATTTACAAAAATAAACCAGTCTTTTTCATATTGCATTGTTTATTTTCTTTTATAAGAGCTGCCAACAATTTCTTTATAAATAATTCATAAGAAAAAAGCAACAATAACAGAGCTGTTGCTCAAATAAATGTAAACACAAATCTAAACACAAAACTCCTAAAAA